ACGGTATTCAGGTTTAGGGCATTGCATCTCGGACAAATCGAAGACGGATTCAGACACTCCAAAACTTGGCCTTGCGCCGAATTACGGGTGCTGACTGGTACGTCAGAAATTCTACCTTGCACAGAGACCTCAAAATGGAGACCATAGACAGCCAAGTTGGAGCATTCGCCAACCGGTACAACGAACGCTTGCAGCGACACTGCAGCCGGGTAGCAAGAGACCTCGCTGGAAGGTGTGTAGTCAGGAGGCTCAAGAGAAGATCGTTCAAGGACCTCCTCCAACCACGACATAGGAGACGCCCCAGAGTCCCCCGACTACCTATGTGACGATGCAGCCTTACTCAAAAAGCTGCCTTTGACGTTTGTCCACGATAAAGCCTGAGGACCCAACCAGGCTTGGTGTAATATCACCTAAACCAACTGTGTTGATATAAAAATGTATGCTATTTTTGATTCAATACAATAAACAAACAAAAAAAAAAAAAAGTCTATCAGGTAACTTATTGACATAATTTTACATTTTATATATATTTTATTCATTTTTATTTCACCAATATTCAGGCTTAACTAATAATCCACCAAATACTAAAGGAATGAATAACTCAAAAGCTCAATGCAATCATTCCGGTAATGTAATAAAAAATTTTCGAATTAAATCCATATTTAACAGATTTTCTTCTAATATATTTGCAGAACTATTATGCCTGATGCATCAAATGTTGATGACAATTGATCGTCAAGGGGCTGAATTGACTTCATTAAGAAATGAAGTATCAATTATAAAGGGACGAGTTTGCGGAGAGGCGCACAAGGCAAAATTGACGCTGCCAAGTGCGCCAAAAGCAACTCTTGGGGACTTTGAGGCATTTGAAGAATGTCTCAAAGAAGAGAAGTCCCTTAAAAACTTGGTAAGGAAACTTTAAATTAAATACTTTTACTATTCACTTATAAATCCTACATTTTCCTTAAGGTCATTGAATTAGTCGAAAGCGGTGAAAAGACCTACGACAAGTTCATTAGGAGCTCCTGGCGCCAAATAATAACGGACGATGTGGCAAGACAATGCTCCTGGCGTGGGACGGAGAAAAAAGTGTGTGTCAGAGGCCTTCGAACCACATTGGCAATGCGAAGTAAGCATTACTTTTAAAACTTGTATATGTGCGATTTAATATTATTTTGTTAATGTCTACAGATGCATTTAAACAGAAGTTTACGCTGGAAGACGGCGATTTCGACCGCGTCACTCAAAAATATTTTCAATACGCGCAGGAAAGAGTCACGCAGGAAAGAGTGGCGCGTAGAAAAGGCTGATGCCAAAAAAATTAAAATATAATTTTATAATATAATATTAATAATAATAACCATTTATAATATTAATGAAAAATAGTTTTAAATTACTCTAATTTATTTATGTATAAACTTTTATTGTAATTATCAGAAAAAAATTAGTTTAAATCATTATTATTTATTTTATTTTCAAAATAAAATTTGAATTTAAAATGAATATTAAAAAAAAAAAACAACAAGCAACATTTTTATGGGAACAAAATGGACATTAATCAAAAAAAGTTTCGTAAAACATAATTCCTGCGAGCCTTTTGCCTTATCATTTAAGAGACTTTTTTAATATTGCTACCGGCTTAAAATTATTTTTTTTAAAACTGTTTTGAATCAAAAACGTTTCACAGAAAATATTTTATAAGACTCGTTAGAAATATCAGAAAAGGCTCGCAAAACATATTACAAAAGGCTCGCTAGCCGTATTTCTTGCGACAATCGTAAATGAAACTTGAACTGCCACAAACTGAACGACATATCATTCATATTGCTATCGTTTCCCGATGCGATTCCGAGAGTTTTGTCGGGTAAAGTCTCGCATTTCACCAGTTTGCGATATCATTTGCGACAGTTTGGTCCGCTGA